TGTGGTGCTGGCCCTTTAATTACACTGTGAGCACTGTGGTGCTGGCCTATTAATTACCCTGTGAGCACTGAGGCACTATCCTGCGAGCTGTGTGGTACTGACCCTTTAATTAACCCTGAGCTGTGTGGTACTGTCCCTTAAATTACTGCTGAGAGGTGTTGTGATGGCCCTTAAATTACCCCCGGGTATTAAGGCAAATCAAGATGTGGCCAAGAAAATACGTGTAATCTTTGTATTTAACATTCTCAATCTTCCAGTTTATAATGGTTTTATTCAAGCTCTGTCTTTGTTGGTCATATGAGGATTAATTTGGGGAAACAGTCAGCGTGAAGTGTCCTCCCAGCAGCTGTTTTGCAGGGGAGTTGCTTATTAACATTACACCTTGTGCCCTGTCTTTCTGTGCGATGCTCACCACCCACACTGTTACTCGTGTGCTGGCAAAGAAAACAAGCTGTCAAACTGTGTTGACCTTTCAGCTTGCCCACATTACAGTGTTCTGCCCACACAATGCAGCTCCACAATCCATCAATGCCTCTCAGAAAAGATCAGATTTTTCTCTTGACAGTTTGGTTTCAGTCCAGTGGGCAGCTCTCTTGCCTCTAAGTCAGAAAGTGTGGGTTCACCTTTTAGATGTGAAGTTAGACTGAGACCCATTCTGTCCTTCACAGGGTGACATGTGTGATTCTATCTGAAAACCAACGTGGTGATGGGAGTTAAGTGGAGAGCTCCACCAGTGTTTCTTCTGCAATCGGTATAACTCAAACAGAACATCTCATCACGATTATATTGCTGTTTGTGGGAGCTCTCTGTGACTGCTTAATTCCTCCATTACAACATTTTCTACATTCCAAAAGTTCTGTGTTAGATGCAGTTGTGAAAGATGTTATGTAAATAGAAGTTTGTTCTTTTGTTTTATTTATTCAAGGGTTGTGGGCATCTCTGGCAAGGCTGGCATTTGCTCAGCCATTTCAGACAGCTGTTAAGAGTCAACCATATTTCTCTTGGTAGGCCAGACCATGCAAGGACAGCAGATTTCCCTTGCCAAAAATTAATATTGACCCAATGTTCTTTATTTTACAGACAATCAGCAAGATTGCCATTAGGCTGGCTTTTCATTCCAGATTTACTGAATTCAGATTTCACCATCTGCTATGGTGGGCTTTAAATGCCCCCACTGCAGAAGAGTGGAATTCTAGACGACTAAACATAGAAACATAGGATAAAGGAACAGCAGTAGGCTAGCCGGCCCTTCACACCTGTTCTGCCACTCAGTGTGATCTTGGCTGATCATTTAACTCAGTCCCCTGTTCTTGCTTTCACCCCATACCCTTTGATCCCTTTAACCGTAACTCCTTCCAGAAAATATTCAATGTTTTGCCCCCATCCACTTTCTGTGGCATAAAATTTCACAGGCTCACTATTCTCAGGGTGAAGAAATTCCTCCTCATCTTACTCCTAAATGGCCCACTGTTTTAAAAATTCATTTGGGGATGAGGGTATCACTAGCTAGGCCAGCATTTATTGCCCATCCCTAATTGCCCAGGGGACAGTTAAGAGTCAATCACATAGGGACAGCACAGTGGCTCAGTGTTTAGCATTGCTGTCACACAGCGCCAGGGACCCGGGTTCGATTCCACACTCAGGTGACTGTCTGTGAGTTTGCATGTTCTCCCTGTGTCTGTGTGAGTTTTCCCCTTGGGTGTTCCAGTTTCCTCACAATCCAAAGATGTGCAAGTTAGCCCATGCTAAATTGCCCACAGTGTCCAGGGATGCGCAGGCTAGGTGGGTTAGCCATTGGAAATGCAGGGTTACTGGGCTAGGGTAGGGGTGTGTGTCTGGTTGGGATGCTCTTCAGAGGGTTGGGATCTACCCGATAGACCGAATAGCCTGCTTTCACATTGTAAGGATTCTATGATTGCTGTGGGTCTGGAGTTGCATGTAGGCCAGACCGGGTGAGGATGGCAGATTTCCTTCCCTGAAGGGGATTAGTGAATCAGAAGGGTTTTTCCGATAATCAGCAAATGGTCATTGTTAGACTCTTAATTATAGATGCTTATTGAATTCAAATTCCACCATCTACCATGGCAGGATTTGAACCCAGATCCCCAGAACATTACCTGTGTATCTGGATTAGCACTCCAGCAATAATACCACTAGGCCATTGCCTCCCTGTATCCTTAGATTGTGACCATTGTTTCTGGACTTCATTGGAAACATCCTTCCTGTGTTTACCCTGTCTCGTTCTGTAAGAATTTTGTAGATTTCTGTGAGACCCCCCCTCCATTCTTCAAAATCTCAGTGAATATATTCCATCTGATCCAGCCTGTCTTCATATGTCAGTCCTGTCATTTCAGGAATCAGTCTGGAATCAATCAGGCTGTGAATTCTCTTGATGTTTGGTTCCAAGTCTGAGTCAATCAGATTATGCCTTCGTGCTCAGTGTGTGAGCCCAGATCGCACCGAGATGGTTTCCCAAATGCATGAGATGGACTTGACATCTCTTCCTTCGAGTCCATCTCAGGAAGATAACAAGCACACTCCCACGGCTTTCCTGTCCAATGCCATCATAGCTGGGACCACGTATGCCCCCAGCTGATTACCATCCACACGTGATTTCCGGCAGAATGTGCAAACAGGTTGCAATGCCCAATAACTGCCCCAGCCCTGACACAGACGTGAACTCTCAGGCTAATTGTAACTCCCTCCCGCTCAAACAGCCGCAGCCACCTAACACAGCACACGATTGGAACCTTTTCGCCTGTAGAAATCAATGCCTTCCTTCAGACACAGAAGAATGGACAGGACATGACAGAATTGTTACGATACAGAAGAAAACCGTTTGGCCCATCCTGTTGCCCAGTGCCAATCTCCTGCCTTCTCCCCATATCCCTGAACACCATTTCAATCCAAATATTGATCTAATGCCCCTCCTGAATAGCTAAGTTGAACCTGCCTCCACATTTCCAGGCAGCGCATTTCAGACCTGAACTACCTGCTGTGTGAAGAAGCTTTTTCCTACATCACACTTGCCTCGTTTGCACATCACTTTAAATCTATGCCCTCTCATTTTTCATTACAAGTGGGAACCGCTTCTCCCTATCTATCCCTTCCCATGGCTGATCTGATCGTAACCTCAAGCCAACATTCCTATTACTCCTCATAACCTTTCACCCCCTTGAGAAGAATTTATTTACCTCTACCTTAGAAATATTCAAGCACTCTGCTTTCACCACCTTTCCAGGAAGAGAGTTCCAGAAGTTCACGACCCTCTGGGAAAAACGAATCTTTGTTTAATCTCTGTGAGCAACCAGTTATGGATGGAGGAAGAAAGGTAGGTGCTATAGGGAATGATTCCATGTGAGGGTTGATGGATTGAGTAGGGGAGATTGAAGAGGAGATGGTATATTGGTCTGCAGAAGGGCACTGTATGCTGCCTGAAGTTGTTCTTTTATTTCTCACACTGCTGCTGATTTTGTTGGCTTTCCCCCCAGTTTTTTATGTAGGTACGTTAAGCTCTGCATTTTCAATGGCTGGAGAGGCAGTCAATGGTCTACTCACGGCTGCTCCCGGGAAGGAGCTCACCATAGTGTCTTATTTCTTGGACCTCACGTCAGCAGAAGCAGAAACAGTGGCGTTGTGGACCGAAGATGACAGGGCAGGTGGATCAGTGGCTGAAGTATCACCAGCCGGGGAAGGCTTTCGGGACGAATTTAGCAGCTCAACACCTGCTCCATCCTGGAATGCTGGAGTCACTGAACAGCCAAGCCTCCCCTCAGGTTAGTTTCCCTGTAAAGGTCTGTATTACAGAGTGTGGAGGTATCATGGCTCTTTACCTGGTTGGCACCAGGAGAATAGATAGGTGAACGAAACAATATCATTTCTGATCGTTGCTGTTTGGTCATGGGCATTGCTGGCTGGGTCAGTATTTATTGCCTGTCCCTAGTTGCCCCTTGAGAAGGTGGGGGTGAGCTGCCTTCTTGAACTGCTGCAGTCCATGTGCTGTAGGTTGATTCACAATACCCTTAGGGAGGGAATTCCAGGATTTTGACCCAGCGACAGCGAAGGAACGGCGATGTATTTCCAAGTCAGGATGGTGAGTGACTTGGAGGGGAACTTGGAGGTGGTGGTGTTCCCATGTCTCCGCTGCCCTTGTCCTTCTAGATGGAAGTGGTCAGAGGTTTCGAAGGTGCTGTCTAAGGAGCCTTCATTAGTAGGTAAAAATGGCTACTACTGAGTGTCAGTGATAGAGGGTGGTGAGTGAATTTGGTGCCAATCAACCAGGTTACATAATTCTGAATGGTGCTGAGTCTCCTGGGTTTTGTTGGAGCTGCACTCATCCAGGCAAGTGGGGAGCATTCCATCACTCTCCTGACCTGTGCCTGGTAGATGACAAACAGTCTTTGGGGAGTCAGGAAGTGAGTTAATTGCTACAGGATTCCTAGATTCTGACTTGTTCTTGTATCCACTCTTTTTGCATGGCTAATCCAGTTCAGTTTTTGATCAATGGCAACCTGATCCCCCAGGACGTTAATAAAGGGGTATTTAGTACTGGTGATGCCATTGGATGACAACAGGAGGTGGTTACATCTTGAAATGTTGGAGATGTTCATTGCTTGGAATTTGTTGAGCCTCTTGAGTGTTGTTGGAGCTGCATTCAAATAAACAAGTGGAGAGTATTCCATCACTCTCCCAACTTGTGTCTTATGGATGGTGAAAAGGACATAATCAGAGCCCCACCTGCTGTACAAAGTGCTGGGTGGTGGATTTGTCCTTCAGTACTCTGCACATCGTGATGCTTTTGTGTACGTGAAAGCACTATTTTAGCTTTGCTTTCTTTGGGGCCTCTGAAATATCTTTATTGAATTGTTCTGGGGAATTAGCACACTAACAATTGACGACAACCCAATCACATTATTCTGGTTTCTCATTTCTGTGCGATGCTTAGATATGCTTCTTAGGAAAGTAAGTCCCGATTGGTGTTTAATCCTTACTCAATCCCCGTCTTTAGTGCAACAAATAGATGCTGTAATCAAAGAAAAGCATTGAACTGACCAGTCACAACTAAGAACAACTGACCTACTTTTATATACTGGGACCTCTGTGTGATCAATTAGAGCTTAAGGACTTGGTTACTATGGCTACAAGACCATAAAGAATAAGAACAGGAGTAGGTTATTTGGCCCCTCGAGCCTGTTCCTCCATTCATCAGGATCATGGCTGATCCAACATTCCTCACATCCACACTCCTGCCCTTTCCCCTTAACCCTTGATTCCCTGATTGATCAAGAATCTATCCATCTCAGCCATAGATATGCAAAAGGACTCTGCCCTCAATCTTCAGAAAATGCCTGTTAAATACTTTTTGAAGACTTTTTTTGTTCTTGCAATTTGGGTGTCACTGGCTGGCTCAGCATTTATTGCCAATCCCAAGTTGCCCTTGAGAATGGTGGTGGTGAACAGCCTTCCTGAACAGCTACAGTCCCGTGGTATTGGCTACCCACAGTGCTGGGTTAGGGAAGGAATTCTGGGATTTTGACCCAGTGACACTGCAGGAACAGTGACACATTTCCAAGTCAGGATGGTGAGTGGCTTGGAGGGGAACTTGCAGGGGGTGATTGTTCCCTTGTATCTGCTGCCTTTGCCCTTCTAAATGGTAGAGGTTGTGGGTTTGGAAAACGCTGTCACAAGAAACTTCGTGAGTTGTTGTTGTGGTGGGACACACTGCTGCTACTTTACGTTAGTGGTAGAAGTGAATATTGAAGGGTGGTGAACAGAATGCCAATCAAACAGGCAGCTTCAGTTCCTGAATGGTGTCAAGCTTCCTGAATGTTGTTGTATTTTGTTAGACTCCTGATTTGTGGTTTGTAGACAGGCACTGGGGAGTGAGTAATCTGCTGCACAATTCCCAACCTCTTATCTGTTCTTGTAGCTGCAGGATTGATCTGGCTGGCCCAGTTCAGATTCTGAGGATTGCAAAAATTATTGCATTCTGTACACTATTAAGAGGTTTCACTATACTAAGGCTCAGTGTAGGCATTTATTGCTCAGTGTGTAATCAGTCAGGGAATCAAAGGTTATGGGCCGGGGAAGGAAAGTGGAATCACAGATCCTTACAGTGTGGAAGCAGACCATTAGAAGAGACACACAAACTCATAAACAACACCCTCACCGGAATAAAATTCACCAGAGAGGAGGAGAAGAACAAACAACTCCCATTCCTGGACGTCATGGTAGAGCGCAAGACAAATGGGGAACTGCAAACGAAAGTACACTGAAAAGCCACACACACAGACCAGGTATTGAACTTCAACAGTAACCATCCCAGCACACACAAACGAAGCTGCGTGCGAATACTATTTAAAAGGGCAACAACACACTGCAGCAACATGGAACTACGCCAAGAGGAGGAGGAATACCTCTTCCAAGTGTTCAAGGATAATGGATATCCAAAGAACTGGGTCAGGAGATGCCTACAGGAACAGCATCAGAAAGATTCTACACGCCCCGACACACTTATCACACTACCCTACATCAGGAACACGTCAGAACTCACCACAAGACTCCTACGACTGCTAGGCATCAGAGTGGCACACAAGCCCACATCAACCCTACGACAAGTGCTCACCCGAACTAAAGACCCACACCCCGCCATGGACAGGACCAATGTCATCTACAAGATTCCCTGCAGAGACTGCGAGAAACACTACATCGGACAAACAGGAAGGAAACTAACAACAAGAGTACATGAACACCAACTGGCTACAAAAAGACACGACCAATACTCACTAATCTCAATCCACATAGACAAGGAGAACCACGACTTCAACTGGGACAACACCAAGATCCTGGGACAGGCTAGACAGAGACAAGCACGAGAATTCCTGGAAGCATGGCACTCCACGAAGCATGCTATTAATAAACACATTGAACTCGACCCCATATACATTCCACTACGGAGGAAACCCGGAAGTCAGGCAATCCATCGCAACGGACCCCAGAGTTTAAAAACCAGGCGGGAAAACACACCGATGCTTCATCAGAGGCTGCACTGAGGATGTTACCAAGCATGGTAACGAAACGTCTGTGGAACAACAAACCAGCTTGGCGAGCCAACCAACCTCAACACCCACAACCCGAGCTACAGATCTACTCCAAAACCTTAGAGCAGACCATTCAGCCCAGCGAGTCCACACCAACCCTCCGAAGAGCATCCCACTCAAACCCACGCCATTAGCCTACCCCTGTAACCCTGAATTTCTCATGGCTAATCTACCTAACCTGCATATCCCTGGACACTATGGGCAATTTAGCATGGCGAATCCACCTAACTTGCACATCTTTGGACTGTGGGAGGAAACGCATGCAGACACGGCGAAAATCTGCAAACTCCACACAGACAGATTAAATCTATTAATTTTAATTAATCTATCATTCTATTAATTTTAAATCAATTAAAGTCTATTAATTTTAAAATAATATTGGAGAAGGACAAAACTGGTCCACAGGTTCAAGTTCTAAACTGGGGCAAGGCGAATTTTGTTGGAATTAGACAGGAACTTGCAGGTGTTAGTTGGAGTAGTTTGTTTACAGGCAAAGGGACCTCTGGCAAGTGGAAGGCGTTTAAAACTGTGATTGCTAGAGTTCAAAGTCTATATGTTCCTGTAAGGGTGAACAGCAAGATGAGCAGGAGTAGGGAACCCTGGATGACAAGACATATTGAAGCTTTGAACAGAAAAAGGAGGCTTGGCTCAGGAACAGGCAGCTGGGATCAAGGGAATCCCTGGAGGTATATAGGGGATACAGGAGTTTACTGAAGGAAGAAATCAGGAGGGCGAAAAGGGGGCACGAGATAGCTTTGGCTGAGAAGATTAAGGTGAATCCAAAGAGATTCTTCAACTACATTAAAGGAAAAAGGATAACTAGAGAGAGAATAGGACCCCTCAAGGACCAAAGTGGAGATGTATGTGTGGAACTGCAGGAGATGGGCAAAGTCCTCAATGAATACTTCTCCTCTGTGTTTACCGTAGAGAAAGACATGAAAACTTGGGAACTTGGGGAAGTTAGTGGTGATATCTTGACGACAGTCCATATTACAGGGGAGGAGGTGTTGGAAGTATTAGAATGTATGAATGTGGATAAATCTCCTGGTCCTGATCAGATATATCCAAGAACCCTGTAAGAGGCTAGAGAAGAAATTGAGGGGGCCCTGGCTGAGATATTTGCATCATTGTTAGCCATCAGTGAGGTCCTGGAAAACTGGAGGATAGCAAGTGTTGTGCACTTATTCAAGAAGGGCTGCAAAGAAGAACCTGGGAATTATAGACCAGTAAGCTTAACATCTGTGGTAGGTAAGTTACTTAAGAAGATTCTGAGGGATAAAATATACATGCATTTAGAAAGACAGGGTTTGGTTAGGAGTAGTCAGCATGGCTTTGTGCATGGGAGATCATGCCTCACAAATTTGTTAGAGTTCTTTAATGAAGTGACCAGGAAGGTTGATGATGACGGTAGGGCAGTAGACGTAGTCTACATGGATTTCAGTAAGGCCTTTGATAAGGTTCCACATGGTAGGCTGCTCTGGAAGGTTAGATTGCATGGAATCTAGGGAGAGCTGGCAAATTGGATACCCAATTGGCTTGATGGTAGGAAGCAGAGAGTAATAGTGAAAGGATGCTTGTCGGACTGGAGGCCTGTGACCATGGTGTGCCTCAAGGGTCGGTGCTGGGCCCATTGCTGTTTGTTATCTACATCAATGATTTGGATGAAAATGTACAAAGCATGATTAGTAAGTTTGCGAATGACACCAAAATAGGCGGTATCATGGACAGGAGGAAGGTTATCAGAAATCGCACCAGGATCTTGATCAGCTGGGGAAGTGAGCCGAGAAACGGCAAATAGAGTTTAATATAGAAAAGTGTGAGGTGTTGCATTTTGGAATGTCACATCCAGGTAGGAGTTTCATGGTGAATGGCAGGGCCTTAGGGAGTATAGTGAAACAGAGGGACCTTGGAGTGCAGGTGCACAGTTCTCTGAAAGTGGAGTCACAGGTGGACAGGGCAGTGAAGAAGGCTTTTAGCACACTGGCTTTCATCAGTCAGGGCATTGAATAAAGAAGTTGGGAAATTGTGGATATTGGCCAAGTGCAGGGAAATGGGGTTAGCGTGGATGGACATTTTGGTCAGCATGGACCCATTTGGGCCAAAGAGCCTGTCTCTGTGCTGTTGGACTCTATTATTCTATGACAGGGTGGAATTGAACCCGGGCCCTTGGCACTGTGAGGCATCAGTGTAACCACTGAGCCACCATGCCTGCCCTTAGGATCAGATCAGCCATGACATCAATGCAGGTGGAGCAAACTGAATGGGCTGAATGGCCTTCCTCTGCTCATATGTCTTATATGAATGCTGTTAAATTCCACAATTTTTTGGGAGGGTAAACTGGATAAAATCAGTGACACACAGCAGAGAGGTTGATAACCAAGGGGCACAGATTGAAAATAGTGGAAGGAGAATTTAGAGGGAAGTTGAGGAATATTTTCACCCAGAGGATGGTGCAGATTTGGAGCTCAGTGCCTGAAATGGTGGGAAGGGCAAAAGTGCTCATTCCAATTTGAATCATTAAGTAATGCCTTACTTACAGAACTTTTGATCATAAACTGGAAGGTGTAATCAGGCTGTGTTTGTTTTGGTTTGGCTAGCACAGATGTTGGGGTCAGTTCGCTCAGTTGGCTGGGCAGCTGGTTTTGTGATGCGGCGTGATGCCAATGCTGTGGATTCAGTTCCTGTAGTGGCTGAGGTGACGGTAAAGGTCATTCCTTCTCAATCTTGCCCCTCACCTGAGGTGTAGTGACCCTCAGGTTAAGCCACCACTCGTCAATTCTCTCTCTCTCTCTGATGAGAGAGGAGGACTATGGTGTCTTTATCTTCACCAGACAAAATGGACCAAATGACCTCCTTACATACCATAAATATTCTTTTCTTCCGTGTTAATGCAATACTGAATAACTATTGTACTAACAGTGACACTTAGAATCATAGAACCCCTACAGCGTGGAAGTAGACTATTTGGCCCATCGAGCGCACACTGATCCTCTGAAAAGCATCCCCTCCAGACCTCCTATCCTATCCCCGTAACCCTGCATTTCCCACAGTTAACCCATCTAACCTGCACATTCCCCGTTTTCTCTCTCCCTCCTTCTTTAATGAGTGGGCTTAAGTTAGCTACATTCCATTTCTTAAGAATACACACTCGAGGAGGAGAAATTTGCAGGGTTATGAGAAAAGTCCTGGACTGTGGAGCAAATTGGATAGCTCTTTCAACTAGCTGGCATAAGCAACACGAGCTGACTGGGGTCCTTCTGTTCAACGTGAATTAATGCAAATGTTGCCTGATCTCTCGTTTCAGACTCCAGTTCCCCTGACCCTCTGCCCATCGCTGGAACTGGTGGATTAGATGAAATCGGTGCATTTGTTTCCTTGCCACAGGCCTGGGTATCCCCAGGTACCAGGTTCACACTATCAGGCCACATTGGGAAGCAGGCAGTTCCCTCTGGCTTACCAACTGGTGCCCTGTTCACTAGACCTGGCTTGGCAGCAGACAGCCCAGACAGGGACTCCCAAGACGCTTTAGGTGATAGCATCCCGACGACGGAATCTGACCAACAGGATAGCACAGAGGCTCCATCGTCTGGAACGAGCGCACCAGACCTGCCGACCACTGCCTCGGATTTTCCAACAACCGTTCCTGCCACCCAGCCTTTGCTGCCGTCGCCCCAGCTCCCACCCAACAGAACGGTGCTCGGCGGATCGGTTGCCACAGACATTGGCAGGGAGGGGCCAGGTTTCATCGGGATGAATCCTGAGCACCCGCCTTGGCTGGAAGGTCCGTCAAAGGGGCCAGGGTCTGCTTCCAAGGATGCCACTGGTACCAGACCCACCACAGCCAAGGAGGAAGCACAGGGGCCCAAACAGGTGAGGACTGTTAATAATACACCATCAATCTGACACCACAGCGAGAGGCCATATGGCCCATTGTGCTTGTACTAGCTATTTGGAAGAGATTCCCATTTAGTCCCTTTGCCCTCTGACCTTTCTCCACAGCTCTGTGATTGTCTTTACTTTCAAATATTTACCCAATTAATTCCCTTTTATAAGTTACTATCGAACCTGCTTTCATTTCACCGTATAACAGAGTTACGCCTCAGCTTTCTCTCTGAATTTTTTGCCAATGATCTTGAATCTGTATCTCCTGGCACTGGAAACTGTCTCCCCTTATTTACTCAAAACGGACTGTGGCTCTGGACATCTCCTTGAAACTTCCCTTAATTTTCTCAGGTCTGAGGATGTTGTCTGATGAGGAAAGGTTGGACAGGTTGGTCCTGTATCCATTGGAGTTTTGGAAGCTCAAGTACAGGTGGAAATTGTACAGTGAATGGCAGAACCCTCAGGAGTATTGATAGCCAGAGGGATCTGGATGTGCAGGTCCACAGATCATTGAAGGTGGCAGCGCAGATAGATAAGGTAGTAAAAAAGGCTTATGGCATGCTTACCTTCATTGGAAGGGGCATTGAGTATAAGGACAGACAAGTTATGCTGCAGCTTTATAGAACTTTAGTTATGCCACACTTGGAATATTGTGTACAGTTCTGGTCACTACACTACCAGAAGGATGTGGATGCTTTGGAGAGGGTACAGGAAAGGTTTACCAGGATATTGCCACAAGCATTCACTCCCTCCACTACCAACGCTCAGTAGCAGCAGTGTGTACTATCTACAAGACACACCAAAGATCCTCAGACAGCACCTTCCAAACCCACGACCACTTCCATCTAGAAGGACAAGGGCAGCAGACATATGGGAACACCACCACCTCCAAGCCAGTCACCATCCTGACTTGGAAATACATTGCCGTTCCTTCACTGTCGCTGGGTCAAAATCCTGGAATTCCCTCCCTAAGGGCATTGTGGGTCAACCCACAACAGGTGGACTGTAGCGGTTTGAGAAGGCAGCTCACCACCTCCTTCTCAAGGGTAACTAGGGGTGGGCAATAAATACTGGCCAGCCAGCGACGCCCACATCCCACAAATGAATAAAGAAAGATGGGGTATTTTAGCTATGAAGAAAGGTTGGATAGATTGGGTTTGTTTTCACGGGAACGCAGGAGATTGAGGGGCAACCTGATATAAGTTTATAAGATTGTGAACGGCATGGAAAGAGTGGAAAGTATGAGGCTTTTTCCCAGGGTGGAGGTGACAATTACTAGGGGTCACAGGTTCAAGGAGCGAAGGAGGAAGTTTATGAGAGATGTGTGAGACAAGTTTTTCACACAAATGGTGGTTACTGCCCAAAATGTATTGCCAGAGGAGGTGGTGGAAGCAGACACAATAGCTGCATTCAAGAAAAACCTGGATGAATACATGAATAGGAAGGGAACAGAGAGATAGGGATCCTGTAAGTGAAGACAGTTTTAGTGTGGAAGGGCGAAATGTGTCGGCACAGGCTTGGAGGGCTGAAGGGTCTGTTTCTGTGTTGTATTGTTCTTTGTTCTTGAATGAGAAATGACAGCATTGAAGCATCTCAGAACCTGAGGAGTCTTGACAGAGTTTATACTGAAAGGATGTTTCCCCTTGTGGGAGAGCTTAGATCGAGGGATCGCAGTGTAAATTTAAGATGGAATTGGGGAGAAAAGTTTTCACTGAGGAGGTTGAAAATCATTGGAACTCCGTGTCCCAGAGGAAGTGGGGCTCATTCAATACTTTTCAGGATAAGGTAGATAGAATCTTGACTAACAAAGGAGTCAAAAGTTATCAGGAGTAGGCAGGAAAGTGGAGTTGAGACCACAAGCAGATTAACTATGATCTTATTGAATAGCCTATTTGCTCCAAATTTGCATCTTCATATGTAGAATACCCCCAGCCTCTCTATAAAATGGATGTACCTCAACTGTAAAGTTGTTCCTAATAAATTTCCCTTTACCTACTCTGACCAAAGGATGATTCTTGACTGTCAGCTGAACAGCCTTTCAACCCAAACCTACAGCTATGCTGTACAGGTTTTATAAAGAACAAATCACATCATTTTCAGGCATCCTTCTTCAGATTTTAATTTTTGGGTTTTAGCGTTGTGAGATTGATGGTGTAAGGGTGTTGCCACTGGCTTTGTAAACTTGCAATTCCAGGCCAATACTCTGGAAGTAGAGTTCAGGTCCCACATTACAAATGGTGACATTTGCCTTCAGTACAATAACTGGGATGGTAGTGATCATGTAACTGGAGCTGATTGTTATTGAGACCTGTTCTGGTTTTCTAATGCCCTTCAGGGAAAGAAATCAGGCATCCTGATCTCAGCTGGCCTGTGTATGACTTTTAACTGTCCCATTGGCAACTAAGGATGGACAGTAAGTGCTGACTGAGCTTCACGAATGATTTAAAAACAAAATTACCTGGACAATCCTGGTGGTTGGCAACACTAAGCCTCATCTCCATCAGACTCATGTTATGGGAGACAATGGCCTAGTAGTAGTATCGCTGGATTATTAATCCAGCAATGCAGGTAATGTTCTGGGGACTCTGGTTTGAATCCCATGAAAAAGAAATCTGGAATTAAGAGTCTAATGATGACCATGAATCAATTGTTGGAAAAACCCTCTTGGTTCACTAATGTCCTTTAGGGAAGGAAACTGCCATCCTTACCTGGTCTGGCCTACATGTGACTCCAGACCCACAGCAATGTGGTTGACTCTTAATTGCCCTCTGCGAAACTAGGGATGGGCAATAAATGCTGGCCTAGCTGATGACGCCCTCATCCTGTGAATGAATTTTTAAAAAAATGAATAGGGCCTTCAAGTCCTCATAAATCTATTTATAGCCAGACCATGATGAATATCCTTCCTGAGCTGACAGCATTTGCTTCTACAGATATCTTTTTCCCTACTATCTTGCAGGCTGTCACAGTGATGCAAAATCAGCTGCTGGATACTGAACACAGCTGGGAATAATGTCCTTTAGACGTGCAGTTTTCTAAGCTTGACTCCTCTCTCTTGTCGGGGACAGACTGGTATTATTTTCATTCATTCCTGTCACCATGGGGTTCTGCTCGTGCGCTGCTGACTCATTATTTAATTATTCGGGTTTATCTTAACCCCATCCTCATTCAGATCCCAACCACTGCCACTCACAGTATGTCCTCCAGGGAAATGTGGGCCAAGACTGTTGGCATGGTTACCATCGTCAGATCTGCTGTATTGACGGGCTAGTTAATTTGGTGCCTGGCTGTTCTCCTAACGTTGGCCAGCGATCCACTTGTAGCTGTCTGACGAATGGATTTAATCACAAACTTGTGCAGTGCGAAAGGAGGCCATTCTGCCCATAGGTGCCAGTGCTAGCCCTTTCAAATCAGTCATCAGTCCCACTCCAACAGCCCTCCTTCATCACCATCACCAACCTACACACTTTTCCTGTAGCACCAAAAATTCTTCTTTTTCAGGTATATCATGGAGCGAGATAAATTTAAACTCTTGCATCTCACAGAACTTTGTTCGTTCATGGGGTGTGGACATTGCTAGCTAGCCCAGCATTTGTTGCCCATCCTTAATTGCCCCTTGAGAAGGTGGTGGTGAGCTGCCTTCTTTAACGTTGGACACTGTATGTGGGTTACCCACAATGCCCTTAGGGAGGGAGCTCCAGGATTTTGACTCAGTGACAGTGAAGGAACAGCGATATATTTCCAGGTCAGGATGGTGAGTGGCTTGGAGGGGAACTTGTAGGCAGAAGTGTTCCCATGTATCTGCTGCCCCTGTCCTTTTAGATAGACGTGGTATTATATGCAGTTTTGGTCTCCTTATCTGAGGAAGGATGTTTTGGCTGTAGAGGAAATTCAACAAAGTTTTACCAGATTGCTTCCTGAGATGACAAGACTGACGTACGAAGAGAAACTGGATCAGTTAGGACTGTATTCACTGGAGTTTAGAAGTGGGGGAGGGGGTCTCACTATAAAATTCTAACAGGACTAGACAGGTAAATGCAGGAAGATGTTCCCGATAACTATAGAGTTCAGAACCAGGAGTCACAGTCTCAGGATATGGGGTAGGCTATTTCATAGAATCCCTACAGTGTGGAAGCAGGCCATTTAGCCCATTGAGTCCACACCAATCCTCCAAGAGCATTGCACCCAGACCCACCTCATCCCTGTAACCCTGCATTTACCATGGCTAATCCACTTAGCCTGCACATCCCTAGACACTATGGGCAATTTAGCATAGCCAATCCACCTAACCTTGCACATCTTTGGACTGTGGGAGGAAACTGGAGCACCTGGAGGAAACCTATGCAGACACGGGGAGAATGTGCAAACTCCACGCAGGCCTGAGGGTGGAATCAAACTGGGTCCCTGGTGCTGTGAGGCAGCTGTGCTAACCATTCAGCCACCATGCCATTCTGGGACCAAGATGAGGGGAAATGTCTTCACTCAGTTTCTAGATTAAGAGTCTAGCAATAAATCTCTGGGCTATCACTTCCCCTTACTCCATTTCTGCACTCTCACATGCTGCCTACCTGCTGACTATTTGCAGCACTTTCTGCTTTTGCTTCACAATAGGTTGCCCTGTCTCCCAGATGAGAATTGATCCTGATATGACCTTGATTGCTTTTGAAAGCCTTCTTAAAGCTGTGTCTTAACATGCCTTGGTCACTCTGTGCAATGTTTTAAAAACTGTCCCACTCTGGTAATACCAAACTCTCGTATATTGTCCATCTCTTGCTCTGCTGTGACTGACTTGGTTCCTGCACTTCCCTTCAGCAGGTTACTTGCAGAGACTGGAGCAAATTAGCTGGAAAGAATTACGTTATCCTCAACCTGACTGAAAACACTGAATGTGTGAGTATTGAACGTTGTGGAGAAGTGATGGTGGGGCGTAGTGGTGATGTCACTGGGCTAGTAATCCAGAACTGCAGTTTGATATGGGTTTGAATCCCACCATGGCAGATGGTGGGTGCTTGAATTCAATTAAAAACCTGGAACTAAGACCTATCTAACAATGACCGTGTAATCACTGTGTATTGTCATTGAAAACCCATCTGGTTCACCGATGCCCTTTAGGGAAGGGAAATCTGCCATCTGCTCACGTGACTCCAGACACCCACAAATGTTGTCGACCCATAGCAATTAGGGATGGGCAATGAAATGTTGGCCAGGTAGGCTATTTCATAGAATCCCTACAGTGTGGAAGCAGGCCATTCAGCCCATTGAGTCCACACCAATCCTCCAACAGCATTGCCCCCAGACCCACCTCATCCCTGCAACCCTGCATTTACCATACCACACCCCAGGAATGGATTATGACCTCTCTGTCCTTGATCAATTTAATACTGAACCTCATTTCCCAATGCGGTTCAGCTTCTTGTTGTTCACGGATTCTCAGTAGAAATACACTGGTAGACCTCGTGTGACGTGGCTAAGAGTAACATATCAACCTTGTCTCAGTGGATACCATTCTTTGCCCTCTGAGGCAGAGAATTTTGGGAGTCTCAAGCCCCAGTCCAGAAACCTAGCATAAAATCAAGACATAACTGAGGGAATGCTGCACTGTCAGAGGTACCGACTTTAAGATGGGGAGATTGTCTGCTCTCTCAAGTGGATAAAACGGAAGTGCAGTTTCCAACAGAGTCATAGAATCATAGAATCCCTACAGTGTGGAAACAGGCCATTCGGTCCAACAAGTCCACATCACCCCTCTGAAGAGCATCCCACCCAGACCTATTCCCCTACCCCTGATTTCCCATGTCTAACCCACCTAACCTAAACATCCCTGGGCACTGACCAATCTCCCACCCTCAGTTCAGAATCACAGAACTGTTACAGTGCAGAAGGAGGCCATTCAGCCCATCATTTCTGCAACACCATCAGAATGAGTAGTTCATTTTGTGTCATTCTCCTGCCTTCTCCCTGTAACCCTGTACATTGATCTTTTCCCAATAACCATCTAATTCCTTTTTAAATGCCTTTGTTGAACCTTGTTCTACCACACAGCCTGTAAGGGTTGTAGAGGCAGAAATCCTCATAACCTTGAAGAAGTATTTTGATGTGCACTTGTGATTGTAAGGCATACAAGGCTAAAAGTTGGAAAATGGGATTACATTGGTAGATGCTCATTTTTGACCAGCACAGACCCGATGGGCCAAAGGGCCCTGTTCTGTGCTGTAGACCTGTATGACTTGATAACACCACCAGCAAATGCATTCGAGATCTGAACTTGCCACAGGAATAAATCTTATCTTGTGTCGCATTTGATCTTTTTGCAAACTTTAAATGAAGCGGTTTCACAACATTAAAACTGACCAACTCATCGTTATCTCATTGGCATTGTGGGGGCTTGCCCTGTGTCAATAATCTGATGTCCTTCCTCTGTTAAAACAGGCCTGACCTCTTTGGCAGTGGAAACACTTTGGGATGATGTGTGGTTGTGAAAAGTTTGTTTTTGTGGTGCTGTTGAAGGATGAACATTGAACCTGCAAAAAAATGATATTGTCAAAGCAAAGGGCTGGGGGAAATTTTTGGAAGTCATTGACAGAAAGTTGCCTGAGGACTGACTCAATGGTTTCTGTGGTAACCGGTGGACATGGTGATGGAACATTCTTAGGTCTGCATCATGCAGCTGCCTAAGACAGTGTTCCCATTTCATTGTCAGTCTATGTACTGCAGAGATTTCCATGTAGGTGCTTTGAATTCTTTGACCATTGTACAGTCATTACCTTGATCATCATATTGCCCCCCGCTCCTGCTTCTCATCTGGGGGCTGCCTCTTGGTAATACCATGAAACAGCACCAACATTACTTTCTACATTTAGATATTTTTAATCAACCTGTTCACATGTGTTATGCCACACCTCTGGAGCATGTGGTACTTGAACCCAGACCTCCTGACCCAAAGGTAGGGACTCCCCACTGTGCTACAAACAGCCTAGTTCCTACATATATCAATGACTCCCTGCCTACCTCACTACTACCTCTTTTGGCTCCTGTTGCTAAGTTTAATCTCAGGTGCTAGATAAGCAGAAAGTGTTCCCAATTAAATGTTCCGAACACTGAATCCATTGCTTTTGGTTCCCATGCCACACACCGTTCTATAGCTACCAACTCAATACCTCTCCATGGCAACAATCTGAGGCTAAACCAGTTTGTTCACAGTCTGGGTGTTGTATTTTACCCTGAGATAAGCTTTCCACCAAGTATTTAAGCCCTCAATAGAACCATTGTTTCCACCCCGGTAACATTTCCCCTCTTCTCCCTTATATTTGCTCATCTGCAGGTCAAACTTTCATTTGTTCCTTTTTTTAACTCCAGCCTTGATGATTCTAATGCACTTCTGGTTGGTCTCTTGTGTTCTCCCCTCCAAAAACTTGAGGTCATCCAAAAGTCTGTTGCACTTGTCTTAGCTTTTGGTCACTTGATAACTCCTTACGTGTATTAGTGTGACATTTTATTTTTAAAACTCCCGTATAGTGCCTTGGAATAGTTAATTGTGTTTTAAAAAGTTGCCATATAAATAAAAGTTGTTGTTGTTACGATGAGTTGCAGTCCCATTAGTCACCCGTGGGAGTGCTGTTGTCGGGTGCAGCCATGTTGATATGCAGCACCACCTGCAGGTTGATATTAGTATTGTAACCTGGGGAAACCAACAATTTCCATCTAAAATAGCAGTGCTTCCCAAATCCTTTCCCACTGTGACCCTGTTTCAAGGAATGAAAATAATTCCTCAGTGAGATTTGAGAGCTGTGGTATGGAGAAGTTGAGACAGCAGGGCCTCTAGAGATATAACTTAATCAGAGTTCCATTGTGACCGTTACTGCCTCAGAGGTTACAAACCCCAAAATGTCAGCACATGTCGCAACTCAAGAGTCCTGACCCATACTTTGGGAAATCCTGATATACAGCCTTAAATGGAATAAAATATTGTCAATCAAAATTGGACACTTATGACAAATTTTAACGTTCCATATCAATACACTCCCTTTTCTTTCTATTATACATTACCTCCACATTCAAGAGATTGGTTAGCTCAGTTGGGTGGATGGTTGGTTTGTGATACAGAGTGATGCCAACAGCATGGATTCAATTCCCACACCAGCTGAGGTTACCATGTTGCTCGGTCAAAATCCTGGAATTCTCTCCCAATGGCACTGTGGGTCAACCCACAACACATAGACTGCAGCAGTTTAAGAAGGCAGCTCAGCCACCATCTTCTCAAGGGGGCAGCTATGGACAGGCAATAAATGCTGGCCCAGCCAGCAATGCCTACATCCCACAAATGAATAAATTTTACAAAAACAAGACTCTTCTTTGCAGCCTCTCCCCTCACCTTAAGCATGGTGACCCTCAGGCTAAGCCACCATCAGTTGTCTCTGTCTATAAAGAGACAGCAGCCCTGTGATCTGGTGAGACTATATGCCTTTACCTTTGCCTCCTCATTCTTGAACTTGCATTTAAATCCCTTCATGGCCCGTCAGCACCCCATCATCGTAACCTCCTCTAGTTGACCTGTAACTCTCTGTGCTTTTGATTTCTCCAACCTCTTGCACGTCACTTATCTCCCTCCATTGGCGATCCCTTCTCCAGGAAACTAAACCCTAGTGTGTGAATTCCTGAGACCCCTCCATTTCCCCAGCTTCTTTCCCCTTGTTTAAGGCTCACTTCCTTCACCAAGAGTTCTGGTACCTCATCCAAATCTTTCTCCAGTGGCTGAGCTGATTACATTCTTGCCTCTGAGGCATGAGGGTCTCTCTCTCTCTCTCTCTCTCTCTCTAGGATTTCAGCACCTTGGTCAAGGGCAGTTACGCCAGTGCAGTATTGAGGCATACAGTGTACGTGTTGCCTCTTGAGGTGAGGCGCTCAGCTGACGTCCCATCTGCCACTGTGGTTGGTATAAAAGATGGTATGACACAATTTTAAAGAGGAGTTGTTAACATGTATCACTCCAGCTGTTGTTATGATATTTGTTTTCTGCTTATTATTGTGTTGCTGATTTTGGGAGCTTGCTCTGTACAAAATCAGCTGCTGCATTTCAGATGTTACAGCAGTAAAGACACAAAAGTGCAAAGTGATTCATGATATCCAGTAGTCATGAAAAGCACAATATAGAAACAAGTCTATCTTTTACTTTTTTTAAAAAACATTGGCATCCATTAGGTCATGGTTGTGATGATGCCTCTTTGCATGTTTTCTACGTTAAAGGCACTACATAAATACACCTTATCATTGGGCCCTCTATAGAAGGGATTGCCTGTTCTAAAGTGATTTTCTCCGTTGATTAAAGAAAGCTGTGTATTTCAGGAAGTGTTTCGGACTCGGGAAGGATTAAAGCTGCTGAAGCTGGTGGCACAGTCATTCTCCAGGAAACTGAGCACCCCTGCTGACTCGTGGTTGATATCGCTGAGCAAACCCAGTGAGGACGAGAAACACCTCCTGATGATGCTGGCCAGCGATCGAGGTGATTGTCCACTGACGCATTGAAGGGGCAGTAAAATTGCAGAGTATTGCAGCCCAGAAGAAGGCCATTTAGCCCACAGAATCAGTGCCAATCCTTTCAAGCAGCAGTCCAGTTAGACCCACCTTCTGGCTCTTTCCCCAAAATCCCTGGAATTTTAACCCTTTCATCAAACTCCCTTTTTACAGGCTACTGTTGAATCTGTGTCTACCGCCTTATCATTCCCAATCCTAATCACTCATTGCATAAAACGTCATCACTTCCAATTCTTTTGCCAATCATTTTAAGTCTGCATCCTTTGGGTGTTGACCCTTCTGCCATTGGGAATAGTCTCTATTTCCTTTGTATCTAAGCTCTTCACCATTTTGAATTGCTCTGACAAGTCTCCTTGTAGCCATCCATCTCTAAGGAGAACTCCCTTCTATCCGTGTTTCTGGAATCCCCTCACTACAGGAGTCACTCGGTTCCCAACCTTTCTCATTTTTCTGGGAAACTCCAGCCTATCACTGTTCTTTCCTTTTAGGGAGGGAAATCTGCTGTCCTTACCCAGTCTGGTTTACATGTGACTCTATGCTACATGGATATAGACTGTAGAATGGACTAACAACTAACAACAAACTGAACAAAAAGATTTAAAAGGGACCTAAGGGGCAACTTTTTCATGCAGAGGGTGGTGCGTGTATGGAGTGAGCTGCCAGAGGAAGTGGTGGAGGCTGGTACAATTACAACATTTAATAGGCATCCAAATGAGTACATGAATAGGAAGGGTTTAGAGGGATACGGGCCAAATGCTGGAAAACAGGACTAGATTAATTTAGAATATCTGGTCGGCATGGACGAGTTGGACAGAAGGGTCTGTTTCTGTGCTGTACATCTCTATGACACTATAACTACTTACGACAGACTTAGAAATAATTAGCTCCACCCAGAGACTGTCATTTCTATATCAATGGATAGAGATATTCTAAATCTTCCAAATTAGCCCTCTCAGGCCTAGTGTTTTATTCAACTATTCACGTCTCCACTTGGTGAACTGTGCATGATTGTTTCTTCCAGAAAAGATATACAGACACTTGAGTAACTGCTGAAATAATTTACAAGACTGACATAGAGTAATGGAGTCATACAACATAGAAACAGACCCTTCGGTCCAGTTCGTCCATGCCGACCAGACATCCCAATCTGACCATTTGCCAGCATTTGGCCCATATCAAGAAGTGATATAACTATCAGGAAAGGTTGATTGGGCTGCAACACTTTTCTCTCAAAAAAGAGGAGGCTAAGGGGATGATCTGATAGAGGTCTTTGAAATGATGAAGCGGTTTGATAGGATTAGTGCAGAGAAAAAGTTTTCACTTGTGGCAGAGGTAAGGTCACCATAGTCCCAGAGGATGATAGGACTGCTGTCTCATTGGACAGAGATGACTGATGGGGAGTTTAACCCATAGGGTCACCACACCTCATCAGGGGGTTGAGAGTGAGAAGGTAGGGCCTTCATAGTTACCTCACTTATGTTAAAGAGAAGACCAGGGGCCATTAGATTTAAATTGGTCACTATAAATCCAATGGAGGAACTTGCTGATTCAGAGTGGCAAGAATGGAACTTGAATGGAGAAGTTGAGGCACATAGAATATAGATGTCTTTAAGGGGAAGCTCGATAAACACATAGAATGATAGAGATGTACAGCACAGAAACAGACCCTTTGGTCTAACATGTCCGTGCAGACTAGATATCCTAAATTAATCTAGTCCCATTTGCCAGCATTTGGCTCATAACCCTCTAAACCCTTCCTATTCATATATCTATCCAGATGCCTTTTAAATGTTGCAATTGTACCAGCCTCCACCAGTTCCTTTGGCAGCACATTCCATAATTCACCACCTTCTGTGTAAGAAAGATAATCCTCAGGTCCCTTTTAAATCTTTCCTCTCTCACCTTAAACCTATGCTGTCTAGTTTTGGAATTTCTGTACCCTGGGAAAAAGACTGGCAATTCACCCTATCCATGCCCCTCATGATTTTATAAACTTCTACAAGGTCGCCTCTTAACCTCCAACGCTCCAGGGAAAATAGCCCCAGCCTATTCAGCCTCTCCCTGTAGCTCAAACCCTCCAACCCCGGCAACATCTTTTAAAATCTTTTCTGCACCCATTCAAGTTTAAAAATATCTTTCCTACAGCAGGGAGACCAGAATTGAATATGAGGAAGAAAGGAAGAAAATATTGATGGTGTAAAAGGAAGGGAGATAGGAGATTCAAGTGGAGCGTAATCACTAGTCTGTGCCTGCTGGGCTGAATAACTTGTTTCTGCATTGTAAAATTCTATTCAACATTCATGTCTTAAACAAAGGATCCTTATTTTGGTAATCCAGGTACAATACCGGCAAAGGAGGTCCTCATGATGCTGGGAGAGGTGAAGGAAAACCTGAAAGAGGTGAGTTTTTTTAATCTTTCTCCAGAAGGACATTTCTTCACTCCAAAACATGGTTAGAATGTGGAGCTCTCCACTGCAGAGTCTTCAATAAATGCAGTTTCACCACAAACACTGATTTCACTTTACAACCCATTATCCCAATAACGTGTGTCTGATCTCAATAACATGATTGTTATTGATCACTGACATGTTGACATTAGCAATGTTTGATACTTGTTCCTACCTCACAGAGCCCAGTGTTCCTTTTCTAGGTCTATACTCACTGTTCCAAACCATCCAGCTATACCTGGGATTATTCTCGTCTTCATTATTTTCTCCACATCACATGCAGTTTCATGTTGGTGGCAAACCTCGCAGGAAATGAACCTGGGGTCCTTATTTCAGACATCTGATAAAAGGTTGCAATGTGGATTGTCCACTAATAGCAATGATCAGTTCCATCCCCCAAGGAGTGACAATGGAGGTGGGTTTATTCACTCTTAACATGAGAGATGTATAGTAGCAGGAAGAGTCACTCTGTTAAAAAGATTTAAAATCAACCTTGATTACCTCTGAGAACATAACCTGAACATTGATAACATGGGTTTCTATAAGAACATCAGAAATAGGAGCAGGAGTAGGCCATCTGACCCATCAAGCCTGCTCTGCCATTCAATAAGATCATGGCTGATTTTCTTGTGGACTCAGCTCCACTTACCCGCCCGCTCACCATAACCCTTAATTCCTATACTGTACAAAAATCTATCTATCTTTGCCTTAAAAACATTCAATGAGGCAGCCTCAACTGTTTCACTGGGCAGGGAATTCCACAGATTCACAACCCTTTGGGTGAAGAAGTTCTTCCTCAACTCAGTCCTAAATCTGCTCCCCCCTTATTTTGAGGCTATGCCCCCTAGTTCTAGTTTCACCTGCCAGTGGAAACAACCTCCCTGCTTCTATCTTATCTATTCCCTTCATAATTTTATGTTTTTATAAGATTGCCCCTCATTTTTCTAAATTCCAATGAGTATGGCCCCAGTCTACTCAATGTCTCCTCATAAGCCAACCCTCTCAACTCTGGAATCAGGCTCGTGAACCTTCTCTGCACCCCCTCTCCAGTGCCAGTGCATCCTTTCTCAAGTAAGGAGATCAAAACTGTACACAGTACTCCAGGTGTAGTCTCACCAGTACCCTACACAGCTGTAACATAGCCTCCCTGTTTTTAAACTCCATCCCTCCAGCAATGAAGGATAATACCCATTTGCCTTCTTAATTACCTGCTGCACCTGCAAACCAACCTTTTGTGATTCATGGGAATAATGTATTTCTAATTACACAGTGGTTTTCAGGAATGTAATTACTACGTTACTCTAACATTTTGTTGTCATTCATGGGATGTGGCTGGGCCAGCATTTATTGCCCATCCTGAATTGCCCAGAGAGCAGTTAAGAGTCAACCACATTGCTGTGGCCCTGGAGTCACATGTAGGTCACATCAGGTGAGGATGGCAGTTTCCTTCCCTAAAGGGCATTAATGAACCAGGTAGCGTTTTCCGCTAATAATTTTATTGTCATCACCAGACTCTTAATTGCACCATCTGCCATGGTGGGATTCAAACTCTTGTCTCCAGAATAGTACCCACATCTCTGGATTAATAATCCAGTGATAATACCACTAGAACCCAGCTACCACCTGTAGCAGAGGTAAAACATTACATCTAGGTAAACAAATGAAGGTGAAAGAGATAAAGAATTAAATTGATAAGACTAGAAAAGGAATGAGAGGAGGCTTCTGCAGGTTTGTACACACTAGGGTAGACCAGTTGGGCCAAATGGCCATTCTATGTAATTCTATATGATGGTGAAACAGGCTCAAGGGGCTGAATGGTCTGTTTGTTCTGCTCCTATGTTCCTAATAATGGTCTCATTTGCAGATTGGGATCCACAATGTCACATCTGCTGCAGGTTGCCAAGGGAGACCCAGCCATCCCCGTGGAGATTATGGGAAACTCTTTGTTGTGCTCGTTATCATTGGCTCAATCTGCGCAGTGATCATTGTCTCGGGCCTTGTCTACATCTGCTGGCAACGAAGACTTCCGAAGTTAAAGAACATGGTCAGTGATGTGCCAAAACCTCATGGCTACAGATATCATGAGCCCAGGTTATAAGGAATGGTTAGGGGAAATTTGAGCTCCCTCTTGTTTGTGGAAGAGACTTTTAAGTTGTCGAAGGACATTATGCAAAGACAAGATAACAAGGTTTAGAGCTGGATGAACACAGCAGGCCAAGCAGCATCAGAGGAGCAGGAAAGCTGACGTTCAAGGTCTTCTTTTCACTTAATCAATCAGTCAGATTTTTGAAGAGTCGCTGGACTCGAAACATTAACTCTGCTTTCTTTCCATAAATGCTGTGAGATCTGCTGAGTTTCACCTGCAATTTCTGTTTTTGTCCAGCATCTGCAGTTCTTTGTTTCATTTCAGTGTGTTCAACGTACCTTCTTACTTGTTTTATAGCTTTGGCCTTGACCTACAATATGGCACATGACCCTCCCCCGACTTTCCATTGTTAAAGTGATGGTATCTTCTGTAAATTAGTATCTCTCCCCTAGATTTGCTCACTGTTAATGTAAAGAAATGCTGTTTATTTAATTTGTCAGAGTTTATTAAACTGGGGTAAAATGTTTGACCCCATAGTGCTGCTAGTGGTGGGAGGCCTGATTTGCAGAATTGGCTGCAGAATAGAAAGACGTGCTAACAACATCACAAAGTGTTAAGAAATCAATCGCAGGAAATCCTGACAAAGTCCGAAAGTACATTTCCAACAACAGCTACTTATATTAACATAGTGGCTTTAAGAATTCCATTAACAAATAGAATTCTGTCCTACCTTTTGATTCAACGGGCTAGAGTGGTCATTTGGGTTGAGATGCCAGAAGATAGTCATTCCAGACAGAACTCTTTCTGAAAATTTCAGGAATTGAGGAGGTGAAAAGATTAGGAGAGAACAGAATCAAAAAGCATAAATATACGTATGAGTATTGCTGGAAAAATTTTGATGAAGCTGTTCGTCTTGCAGTCATCAGGACAGTTTGCAAGAATGACAATTTACGGGCAAAACAAACATTTGTACTGAATGAGAGGAGAGTGCTGATTGGTTTGCCAGTGATTTCTGATTGTTTGAGACATTGTGTGCAGAATGCATCTACAAATGTTAGATTGCCAAATTTACATTTTAAACCAGGCAGGTTAAATGTGATTGGTCAGGGCATGACCCCTGAGAAATGAACCAGCAAACGACTTTCACCTATTTGCCGATGTGCCATTTTGCAGCAATACTCATATTCTGGACTACCAAACAGCTAAATATGTTTTTACAATTTAATATTAGCTCTGAATTTCCCAACTATTATTTTTACTCAATTATTTAATTTCATCTCCCCCTAGTCTCATGGCGAGGAACTCCATTTTGTTGAGAATGGTTGCCACGACAACCCGACCTTGGACATAACCATAGACAGCACATCAGAGATGCAGGAGAAGAAGCCCAGTGTGAATGGCGATGCAGTGGAATGTTCCGGAGGCTGGAGCACGCTCATCACAAAAGGGTCAAAAGATGAGCCGGACAGTTTTGAAGAAGACACCCACCTTTAGGAGCCTTCATCATTTGTGATTTAGTATAGAGGATATACTTTGTTTTGATGAACCCCTGTACTTTGCACAGAGGCATCATTGCTTCATAAGGACCGATCCAATGCTGCATTCTAATGCTACAATAATCTTCACTCTGTCACACCACTAGTCCCCGGTTCAACAAAAAGAAAAGCACTAATAGTGAGCCAGTGGAATTTGTTTGGCGCATATCTTGAATGGAACCATCTTAAATTGAAAGTGGCCAATCATTTCTACATGGGAATAGCAGAGTATTTCACAGATATCACTTATTCCTTTTCGTACCCCACATTTGGATCCAATCCATTGATTATATATAGAGCTCCTAAGCATACTATAATGGATAGTTCTTTCCTACAGCACAGTGCAGAATCACTGACCGCATTTAGCACAGGGTTTATAAAAAGCCTACAGGAATGGCTGGAACAGTTAACATTGGTGAATCAGTGTTAGGGCTGAGGGCACGTTACTAATGTTGAGGTTAAAGTACTTTGGCCTGGGTTTTGTCATTGTAATCCGTCAAAGTGAATGGGCCACCGTTGGCATGACAATTGGGAAGCTTTGGTCATTTTCGGTAAGTGTTTAAAGAGGTTTAGTCTGTTTCTTGGTGGAGTGGAAGAGTTTGAGGTTTACAGTGCACCCGAGAATAGGAAATTTTCCAACTCTCCATCCTCCTCCTTGGCAAAACACAATGTTCACCGCAGAAGAGCAACAAAAAAGGTGTGCTGTCATAGTAGCAGCTTATGTGGAAGGCAGTATGAGATGACTGAATGGGAATTCATTGTCCCTCCTTATTGCCTTTTAACACAGGTAGCCTAATGACAAGATTTACAGCAATGATGTCATAGAATACACATAAAAACTAGTAAGCAGCAACTGGTGGTCTGAAAAAAAAAGCAGCCATAGTTTCTGAAGTTCATTAAACTTCAGCTTTTATGATGTAAGTAGCTGTCTTAGATCATTGGAATTCTGAATATGGCTGACTTAGCCTTAAACTACAAATGGTATGATGGATGGAGCCGCAGTGCAAGGCACATTAGAATGTCTGGATGTGAGCTTACATGCACCAGCTTACTTTCACCCCAAACTAGGATGAATCGTTCTTAGTCATTGTTACTACAGAACTTGAATACAGCTGCAAAAAGACTTGTTTTGTCAGGACAATACACATGAAATACTAAAATGAATGGAAAACAATATTTGTACTGTATGAGAGGAGAGTGCTGATTGGATGGCAAGTGGATTCTGGTGACAATGGATGACAGCCATTCCCTGGTCCATTTCTCAAGGCAATGCCTTGACCAGTCAGAGTTAATCTGCCTTGTTTAAAATTTAAATAAAGCTTGGCAGTTAACTGTCAGCATCATTAACTGGTGCATACTCCATGGCAATGCCTGTATCTATCAAAGTCCACTCCCTAACCAATTAACACTCTCCTTTCATACAGTATCCATTCCGTTCTGAGGCAGACAATTTCAAAGTCACACAAACCTTTGACAGAAAAAATTGTCTCCTCATCTTTGTCCTAAAAGGGTGATGACTAATTTTAAAATACAGCTCACAAAAGGAAACATCCTTTCCTTGCCCACCTTGTCAAGATGATTCAGCATCTTATACACTTCAATCAAATCTTCCCTCCCTGTTCTAAACTCAAATGGAAACAAACCCAGTCTGTCCAATCTTTCCTCATCAGACATTATAGGTATCAGTCTACTAGATCTTCTCTGAATCACCTACAATGCATTTACATCCGTCTTTAAATAAGGCGCCCAAAACTGCACAATGTATTTAAGATGTGGTCTCACCAATGCCCTGTATAACTGAAGCATAGCATCCTTACTTTTATCTTCAATTCCTCTAGTTTAAAGAGTAGCATCATATTAGCCTTCTTGATTATGTGCTGCATAATAACCATCTTGGAATTCTGGAAAGAGTCATTCAGATCACAGTAAAAGGCCCTTCAGACCATCGTGTCTGTGTCGGTTAAAAGCAACCCCTAACTATCCTAATCCCATTTTCCAGCACTTGGCCCATAACCTTGTGTGCCTTGGTATCACAAGTGCACATCTAAATACATCTTAAATGTTATGGGGGTTTCTATCTCTACCAGCCTTACAGGCATTGAGTTCCAGATTCCCACCAGCCTCTAAGTGAAAATGTTTTTCCTCACATCTTGACTAAACCTTCTGCCCCTTACCTTAAATTTATGCCCATGGCCATTGGTTCCTTTCTGTCTACCTATCTATGCCACGTATAATTTAATACATTTTAATCATGGCCTCTCAGTCTGCTCTGTTCTGAGGAACACAACACGTGTCTATACAATTTCACTTCATAACTAAAACCGTCCAGCCGGGGCTACATTCTGGTACATCTCCTCTGCACCCTATTCAGTGCTGTGACATCCCTCCTATAACATTGATTTTTCAACTGCGCACATATAAAACCAATGTTTTATACAGCTTTATACAGTTCCAGCATCTCATCCCTGCTTTCAAACTCTATGCCTTGACTAATAAAGGCAAGCATCCCATATGCCTTCTTAACCACTTTATCCACCTGTCCTGATACCTTATGAGACTGGTGTACATGCACAGTAAGGTCCCTCTGATCTTCAGTGCTTCCCAGGGTCCTACCATGCATTACGGATTCCCTTACCGATTTCTTCTGCCCAAGTGCATCACCTCACATTTATCAAGGCTGAATTCCATTTGACATTGATCAACCCATCTGACCAGCCCATCAACATCCTTTTGTAGTCTCAGGCTATCCTTCTAAATTTTCACCATCCCCCCACCAATGTTTATACAGGTAGTTCCGCTATAACACATAAAGCGAATTGGCTGTAACGTGATTTGTGAATAGTGGACGCTGTTTGGATAATGCAAACTTTCTGCTGTACAGGTATAGCAATTTTCTGTAGTGCGTGGTCACACAAGAATGCAACTACCACGTTATAGGAGAACAACCTATATTGTCTGTGAACTTATTGATCAGATTTACTGATCAAGTCGATCTCCACTTATGTGTTACTCTTCCTTATTCTTCCTGCCAAAGAGAATAACTTCACATTTTCCCACATTACAGATTTTTGCTCACTCACTCAACCTATCTAAACCCATCTGCAACTTCCTAAGGTCTTTTTCACAACATACTTTCCTACCCATCTGTCTCATTTGTGAATTTATCTACCAGGCTTTCACTCATCAAAGTCATTAATGTAAATTGTAAAATGTTGAGGCTCCAGCATAGAACCCTATGGTACTCACTTGTCACGTGCTGTCAATCAGAAAAAGACACATTTATGCATACTCTGTTGTCTGCCAGCCAGCCAGTCTTCTGTCTACACTATATATCACCTTTTACACTCTAAGCTTTCATTTTCTGCAATAATCCTTAATAGAAAACAGACCCTTTGGTCCAACTTGTCCATGCTGACCAGATGTCCTAATTTAATCCAGTCCCATTTGGCCCATATCCCTCTAAACTCTTCCTATTCCTATACCCATCCAGATGACTTCTAAATGCTGTAATTATACCAGCCTCCATCACTTCCTCTGACAGCTCATTCCATACATGCACCACACCCTGCATGAAAGAATTGCCCCTTAGGTCCCTTTTAAAGCTTTCCCCTCTCACCTTAAACCTATGCCCTTTAGTTTTGGACTCCCCTGCCCGGGGAAAAGACCTTGTCTATTCACCCTATCCATGCACCTCATGATTTCATATAATGTGGCACTTTATCAGATACTTTTTGGAAGATGAAAGATTCAACAAAATGCATCATCTTTCAGCAATACACTTTTCACAGTGGGATAAATTCAGAGCCGAGGACAGACATTCTCCTCCAGAGAGGATTTTAGGGAGCTTCATCACATGTCTGCTCTTGTTTGGCTCCTTTTAATATTATTAAAAGATTTTAATAAAAATCTGGAGTTAAAAGCTAGTCTCAGAAATGATATCCATTTTCATAAACACCTCCACAACATATCCTGGTCCAGCCAACGATGCCAACGTCCCAAGAGTTAATAAGAAAAAAAAATTTGATGATTCTTGTTGTAGCAACCCATCTGGTTCCATCTACAGGAAAGGAAATCTGCTGTCTTTACCCAGTCTTGCCTACATGCGACTCCAGACCCGCAGCACATTGGTTAATTCTTAATCGTCCTTTAGGGTAATTGCCCTGCAGGAGGTCACTTAGTTCAAAGGAAATTAGGGATGATTAACAAGTGGTGGCCTCTCTTGTGACATCTACATCCCATGAATGATTTAAATATAGCAGCTTTACCCTTTTCAAAGAGAAACTAATCTCGAAAACAGGGATTCATTAGTCCTTATCCATGAATCACAAAAGCTAACATCCATGTTCAGCCGCTAATTGGGAAAGCAAATGGAATGTTGGCTTTTATTTCAAAGGGAATCGAGTATAAAAATAGGGATTTTTTCCAAAACTACACGAGGCCCTGGTCAGACCGCAGCTGGAATACTGTGGACAGTTTTGGGCCTCTTCTCTAATGAAAGATATACTGGCAATGGAGGCAGTCAGGGAAGGTTCATACTGCTGGTATCAGTACCTCTTATGAGGAGAGGCTGAGTAGGTGAGGCCTGTACTCATTGGAGTTTAGAATAATGAGAAGTGACCTTATTGAAACAGGCAAGATTCTCAGGGGACTTGACAGGGTAGATACAGAACCATGTTTTTTTCCTTGTGGGAGAGTCTAGGATAATCTCAGGGTAATTCTCAGAACGCAGGGTTGCACATTGAAGACAGAGATGAGGAGGAATTTCTTTCTTAAGGGTAGTAAATCTGTAGAGTTTGTTACTGCAGACAGCAGTCAAGGCTGGGTCATTAAGTATATTCCAGGCTGAAATAGGCATTTTTTAATTAGTGAGGGAATCAAGGGAAAAGGCAGAAAAGTGGTTTTGAGGATTATCAGATCAGCCATGATCTCATTGAATGGACTTGATGGCCTGAATGACCTACTCCCCTCTTATGTTTTATGGTCTCATTGAGAAATCACATACCACAGTTAATCAGTTATCCACTACGCACAGTACTATTGCTTGCTAAGTGGATGTTGACTTCTGAAACGGTGCATGTTTACTGCATCATTTAAGAGAAGTAATTTGTAATCAAAGTATTTTATAGAGAACACAGAGCGGTTGTCTTCATGGAACTGAAGTCTACATCAGGGTTTCTTGGACTGGTTACCAATGAAATCAATCTTTTGGACTGTATTCCAGTTACTTTGCTGTGTGTGTGTAATTCACATTTATTGGATTGTTCCAGACCCCACTGAAGCAAGAATTGAATGATTATGGCCAATGGAAACTCACTGGCAACAATGGATTTGGCTGGTTATCAAATTGGAGCATGGATGTTCAAAAAAACACCGTCAACAATTCTCCAAAGCTCTCCATCTCTGCAGTAGCCTTTGTACCATGTCTAGCTTTGTTGTAGACTAATTGGGCCTGATTTTAACCCATTCAAATCCCATCCATTTTCCCAGATTTGAAATCAGGCCCAGTGAGATAGACGGATGAATGTGATTAGTCAACAAATTCATTATAGTTGTATCATGTGACCACACAGATGCCAGAGAATGAATTAGGTAAACCTTGATCTTTTATCATCAAGTGATGGACCTGTTGGAGCTGACCATTTCATATGAATTAAACTTTGTGCCAAACTGATATCAGACTGATGCCTTTTATTAAAAATCACAAGTAGATTTCGTAGCTAATATTTGGTCAGGAGTGAAGAGTGAACAGTGAGTTGCTCTGCGTTGGATCATCTGAAATACATTGTAAGGGAGGTGATGATGCAGTGTAGTGGTATTGTTGCTGCTCTAGTAATCAAGGCAGCTCACCACCACCTTATCGAGGGCAACGAGGGATGGGCAAGAAATGCTGGGCCAGCCAGTGACTCCCATAACCCATAAAAATGGGGATTGACAAAGTAGATTGACAAAGATGTTCCCTCACGTAGATTGAGAGGTCATAGTTTTAGGATAAGGGATTGCAGGTTTAAAGTAGAGATAAGGAGAAATTACTTCGCCCAAAGGGTTGTGAATCTGTGGAACCTCACTACCCCAGAACACGATGGATTCTGGGACAATGAGTAAATTTAAGGAGGAGATAAGGCAGATTTTTAATTACTAACGGGTTGAAGGGTTATGGAGAGCAGATAGAAAAGTGGAGTTGAGGCCAAGATGAGATCAGCCATGATTGTATTAACTGGTGGAGCAGGCTCGAGGGGCTGAATGGCCTACTCCTGCTCCTATTTCTTATGTTTTTATATGAAAAAAACACACTATCAAACGGAATTTCTTCCAGTGAAACAACAACCTGTTCTTTCGGTTTTTAACCTGTAATAATCCCATCCTGCTCCCAACTAATATGAGTTTTTTGAGGATAGAACCAAAAAGATTGATGAGGGTGGAGTGGTAGGCGCTGTCTACATGGACTTTAGTAAAGCCTTTGACACGGTTCTGCATAGTAGACTAATTAGTACAGATAGGTCACATGGGATTCAGGGAGAGCTTGCCAATTGGATACAAAATTGGCTTGACAGTAGCAAAGGGTGGTGGTGGAGGGTTGCTTTTCTGTTTGGAGGCCTCTGACCAGCGGTGTTCTGCACAGATTGGTGCTGGGTCCGCTGTTGTTTGTCATTTACATAAACGATTTGGACAAGAATTTAGGAGGGATGGTTAGTAAATTTGTGGAAGACACCAAAATTGGTGGTATAGTGGACACTGAAGGAGGCTATCTAAGATTACAGAGGGATCTTGATCAATTAACCCAATGGGCTGAGGAGTGGCAGATCGAGTTCAATTTGGATAAATGTGTGATATTGCATTTTGGAAAAGCAAGCGCAGGACTTATACAGTTAATGGTGGGGTCCTGGGTGGTGTTAATGAACAGAAAGACCTGGGAGTTCTGGTATATAGTTCTTTGAAAGTTGTGTCACAGTTAGAAGGCATTTAGCATGTTTGCCGTCATTGCTCAGAACACTGAGTACAGGAGTTCGAATGGCATATTGAGATTGCACAGGACGTTAGAGTACTGTGTACAGTTCTGGTCACCCTGCTACAGGAAGGATATTATTAAATTGGAGAGGGTGCAGAAAAGATATAATTGAATGTTGCCGGGACTAGAGAGTTTCAGTTATAAGGATAGGCTGGATATGCTGAGACTTTTCTCACTGGAGCATAGGAGGTTGACGGTGACCTTATAGAGGTTTATAAAATCATGAGGGGAATAAATAAGGTTAATAGCAAAGATCTTTTCCCTAGGGTGGGGGAGTTCAAAACTAGAGTGCATATTTTTAAGGTGAGAGGTGAAAGATTTCAAACGGACCTTAAGAGGAATGTTTTCACACAGAGGGTAGTTCGTGTGTAGAATAAACTGCCAGAGAAAGTGGTAGATGCAGGTATAGTTACAACATTTAAAAGACATTTGGATAAGTACATTTATTAGGAAAGGATTGGAGGGATATGAGCCAAGCTCAGGAAAGTGAGACTTGTTTAGCTTGGGAAATGGTC